TTTGAACACTGGGAGCAAGTGGCTGATGAATGCCTTCGTCTTAAGCGCATTCGATGGAATTTTATCGCACCATTATCGCCGAATCAAGGAGGATTGTGGGAACGAGCCGTAAGAAGTGCAAAGAATCACTTGCGTCGTGTTATTGACACGCAGATATTGACTTTCGAAGAATTTGCCACCGTTTTAGCATCAGTTGCAGCTTGCATGAATAGTCGCCCACTGATTGCTCTTGATGATGACCCAACAGCATGCGAAGCGCTCACACCAGCTCATTTGGTCGTTGGTCGCCGATTGATTGGCCCAATACAATTTGATTACACATCGATACCGGACAACAGATTGACGCGTTGGCGTTTGATTCAAAAGATTGCTCAAGAATTTTGGTCACGCTGGCATAGTAAATATGTAGCGCAGCAAATCGAAACATCGAAATGGAATCAGAAGAAGGAAAACATCGAAGTTGGAGACATTGTGCTCGTCAATCATGACAACTTACCGCCTACTCACTGGCCGCTGGCACGAGTAATTACAACATTCCCAAGAGATGATGGATGTGTGAGAAATGTTGAAGTGAAGCTTGGATCGTCCACATTCAAACGAGGAATTAACAAAATTGCACGCTTGCCAATCAACGATGAATGATATATTTAGTTTTAATTCATTGTACAAACCATTTCACTTTTCATATTGTTACTTTGGCTTGCTGCTTCTCAGCTTGTCTGTTCTCATTCTAAATTATTGTTGTTCATTTAAATAAATTTAGTTTCGCTCCGCAGCGGGGGCAGTATGTTCGGGTACGAACACTTTATAAACGTTCAAATATTATACAACCCTGAGATTGTCACATCGCATCGCACAACACAGCGAGGTGACATTTCTCTGCCGCCTTTTTCATTATGTTCAATAAAACCAATCAGTTAACTAAAAGCAATCCGACCGGCCGGTCAGAGTTTTCTTGTTTACTTTAAGTTCATTCTTTCAGTACTCAAACACCGAGTTGGAAGAGGATGGATTTTACTACGAAATCGGAGACTTGTGTGAAACTACAAAGAATACAGATCTAGAATCAATCACAAACCAAATTGTTGGAACAGAATTCTTAAATGATTTGTCAATCGATATGTTCATTATAAATTTGGTGAACGCAAACAGAACCATACCATTCGACATGCATCCAGTCTGCTATGGACAAAAACAAGAGCGATACAAACGACTTCTAGCCGAACGAGACGATCTGCAAATAATATACAGCGGTCAGGCCAGCTTTCTTGGCCATTACACCACAGTTCACTATACAGTCTACACGGGGAGGGCAATCATGGCAAAAGATTGGACGTATATCAACGAAACATCCTCACTCGCCTGTACCCCGGAGCACATTATCAATTCATCGAACCGGCAACGTTGCAACCAGATGGATGTTCCTGTGGCATTTTCTCGATTGCATACGCCACAACCATCATTTTAGGACACAACCCTGCAACATACCATCTAAAAATCAAACAGCACGAAACAGATAATTTAAAAAAGACTAGCGAACTACGAAACCACATCAAAAGAATATACGAAACAAATGAACTACAGCTGTTTCCACAATAAATAATACACACATTTTTATTTTTGTCTAAGTGTTTGGATACTTGTTAAAAAAAATTCCGTACATTCCTTCCATATGTATTGAAATGATGATACCTTTCTGTGATGTTTACACTTATTTATTGTAAATTCATTTTGTTCTTTGTTAAAGCCATCCACGAGTTGGCGACTTAATATTTTTATCATTGAAATCAAATTTGAATTATTTATCAAATAGCATCAAATGCTCTAGTTACGTTTCAAATCATAGTCCATGTCAACTCAATGCACTCTGCAATCAACATGGATCTGCCTTTACAGACGTAAAATTTCTCGTCAATTTATCTACCGGTGTGCAAAGCACAAAAAATATATTATACGAAAGTGCAACGCACAGTAAATTTGGTTTGCATTGGCCTATATTATTTATTCGGGTCATGTTTATGTAATGTTTTAGGTTTTGTCAATTTAACATATTTGTTTCCGCATGTATTACATATTTAAGTCAACCAAAATATTAATTAAAGGTTCAGTTCATTATTGAAAGCCAACCGATTCGTTTTATTACTGTTACTTTGCCAGTTTGGCTATTGAGCATTTCAACCGGTATAAATTGAGCGACGACTTTTGCTGTCCTAGAGTCTCAAATTAACGCGTAATTAAACGCTTCACATAGCCTTTGTCCCTTGGAAACGTTTACCAAAGGTTATCTTGGACCGTTTGCCATAGACTAATATCAGGCATTTCCATCTTGGTTGCATGACTGTTTTCGTTTTCATGTTCCTACTATTGTGATTACCGCATAATTTACGAAAAGAGCATGGTTTTTAACGAGGCGAGAACTGATAGTTATCGAAACCTATTGCTACTAATTGTTTATTATTTTAAATATGTAACAGTCTTGCACTCTTTTCCTGCCAAACCTCAATCAAACCCCACATTATATTCAGCCAGAGCTTGGCGGTGTTTAATAAAGTAAAAAAAAAATAAAAATAAAAAGTGTTGCATCGCAATAATGACCAATTGATTTCGATTTGGTAACTTTTGTCTAATTTCATCAAAAAAGAAACAAAAAGTTCATTCTCGAAATATTTGACTGATTTGCAGTTCTTCGATTAAAGTTCAGTTTTTCAATACTTGATTATTTTGCATTTTTGAAAGAGAGGTAAATCTTAAGCCAATTTTTCATAAAATACATGAACGTACTGTTGTTTTTTTCTGAAAATTCTCATAAATATCCTAGGCAAAATCTGAATAAAAGCTGAACGCTATTAAAACGGTGCGGAAAAGTTCGTCTTACGGAGGTAAGACTATTTATTGGCCTTTGGTTTTGGTTTTGTTGTCGATGCTGCTTTTGCTTCTTTTGCCAACTTCCGTGCTTTGACCTCCTTCAATCTAGTGATGTTTTCCGGAGAAATCAACAAAGCACTTTGCATCGGCTTTCGGCCACAGTTTGATGGTGGTTTCGGTGTTGCAGCTTGCATTGGACCAATCGAATCCAAAAGTGATGTGGTTGAGGTAAATAGAGAAGTCATTGAAGCTTCTTTTTCTTCTTCTGCTTCTTCAGCAAGTGGCACTTCCTCTTCTCGACCAACAACAGGTGCATCAACAGTTACAACTAGGCGCCGTTGATCTTCTTCACCGATGCCATCTTCGGTTGCAGCTTCTAAAGTATACGCTGACGTTTTCCTTCCAGCGAACATGCTTTAATAGCCTTCAGCAACGATTGAGCATCAACTTTCTTGTTGGGTTGGCTTAATTTTGTTGGTTTGGATGATTTTTTTGATATTTTGGGAAGAGACATGGCTAAAATACCAAAAATATAAATAAAAACACTATTAAAATGATATAAAAACACTTTCATTAGGTTATAATGACATAAACATGCATGACGTTTGAAAAAATGAGGTGACCCGTATGTGGTGCCACTGTGTGACCCTTATGTAGGATAGACGCCATTTTGAACATGACACCAAAAAAAAAAATTCAGACCACAAATCACTTGGAACGCTTATTTCATGTTAAAATTTAAGAAAAATACTGAATTTATGTGTATCACACTTACCTTTTTCGGTTGATAAACTATGCGTAATAACACTTCGCAAAAAATTGGAAAAGTACTTTTTCAACAATTTTAAAGTGAAAAAATAAAACTAGCACACGAGGTACGTCTATTCACTTCGAAATACTACCAAAAACTTGCCTCGGTTGAGAAAACAATTTGACAGTAGTCGGGTCGGCCATATTTGCTTTCTGTGATGAGATAGTATGGGTGACCCGTATGTGGTGCTGACCCGTATGTGGGACATCTCCCCTATATATACTGAATTTTGGTTTTTTGTACTGATTTATACTGATTTTCTTCAAATTCATCAAATTTTGCTCGAAATTCATGCGTTGATAAGAAAGAAATCATTTTTTGTAAGCATAAATTCAGCAGCAAAATTGAAATGAGCTCAAGAGTGTGAGTCATATTTTCATAATCGAATGTGTGAGGCAACGTTTATGAGAATGTTTCATTGAAATATGCGCATAATTGCTACTGGTTTCTTCTAAACTAAATTTTCGAGGAATTATCTAAATAAAATCAATATACGAAAATTTCCCGATTGGTCTTCAGTGAAGGATTCATTCAAAGTCTTAGCCGAGAAAACTTCTTATGATTTTTTTTTTGGGAAGCAGGCGTAAAGAGTGTAAAAAAGCATTTTGTTCGCGTC